TTTTTTTCTCTCTGTTCCTCTATTTATCATCTGGATGATGTGATTCTGTTGTGAGTACAACATGTGCCAATTGTTCTTTTACTTTGTTTATTTGACATTCATAATGTATGTGTGTGTGTCTATGAAATCCCAGCAGTACTTGTTGTTATGAGTTGTGCAATAATTCAGATGTCATTTGTTGAGGAAAACTTTGATTTATGCAAACCTTTCATGAATCCCTCTATGATTTCTTCTCATTTGATTGGGCATAGTCTGAACTCCAGTGTCATTGTATAGTTGTTTATACTAGAGTGGTCAATTAGTCCCTCTGGAGCCTGCATGTTGATTTTGTTTCTAGCATCACACTTGAGCCACATAATAACTTATAGTTCTAGTACCATGTTTTAGACTAAAGCTGTTAGAGATCCAACAAATATTTCAGTTTTGTTTTCTTCAAATTTTGAGGCTTTTTAAGTAGAAATTAAAAAAAAAAAAAATCTAGTTATTGTATAGAGTATGATAAACATTTTGTTTAGTTTTTGTCTGCCTTTGCTGTTCTCATGATTACTTGACTAAATGTCACATGATATAGTCTAGTTAAAGTCTAATTTATCTTAGACAAACTCACTATCTTAATCAAAGTCAGATGTGGTTATCATCTGCATTCGTCTAGGGATTCCTAGACGACTCTTGTATGGCCAACTAAGCGAAGGAAAGCGCTCGCAAGGTGGTCAAAGAAAGCGCTTCAGGGACACCCTCTGAAGGCGTTCGACATAGACCTAGCACCTGGGAGACAGAGGCACATGACAGAGCATAATGGCGTCGCACTGAAAACTGGCGCACAGGTTGCTGAGGAAAAAAAAACAACGCTGGCAGAAGAAAAACACCAGAGAAGAAAAGCAAGGAAAATGACACTAGCTCCAGCCGGAATAACCTGCCCAGTGTGCAGCCGAACATTCCAGGCTCACATAGGTCTCACCAGCCACATGAGGAGGCATAAAACCCCAGGGCAAAGCCCTAAGCCCCCTGGATGACAAAGTGGTCATCATCAAACCACGATGGACGAACTATATATCATCTGCATTCAATCAAAATAGAGTTGTGTTCATTGAATCAAAATTCGGGGAGGGGGAAAATCAGATTTCTTTTCAAATTTTGAAAATGAATAGTGCAAGGTTTAAAAACTGCAATCTACAAACTATTTAGAAATTACATCAATCTAAAATTGATTTAAATACTGTATCCATCTATTAGTACATGGATCAGTCTAAGCAGTAACTGCACTAGCATGGGTTTAAGATTTTGAAAGACTTAGAATTAAGTGCACATTTTTCATCATATTGTTTTTTCATTGTGTTTGTAGTCTTGAAACCTTTTGAGTCAGTTGTTATGGCAGATAGTAGTTTAAGGCCCATAGTTCATAATGTTATTAGGGGTGACATGTTTTATAGAAGCATCAATAGCCATATTGCCTGTGCAATGTAATTAGGTGGTGGTACACTGAGTGGGTTGTGTTCTATTTAGAGAAATAAATGTTGCATTGCTATTGTAATGCATCTGAAATTGAATGGAACTTATTCTTGTGCAAATTTGTCGGAAAGTCTTCAAAAAAAAAAAAATTGCAGCTTTAGTTGAAACATATATTTAGTTGTGTTCTGGTACTAAGAGCTACTACAGTTTGACAAAGATGTTCTCATTGCTTTAGAATTATTGAGTACACAAGTGTGGGGCAACATTAAAACCTGTTGATCAACTATTTTACTTAGCATCTGTGGCTATCTCTCAATTCTGAAGTGTTACTTTTCCATAGGTAGACATCAATCTCTAGTCATTTCATTTCTTACTCTGGTGCTATTATATTATGTTTTATAAGTCAAAGTTATGTCAACTTTTTATACACAGTCAAAGGTCAAACTTTTAATTTATCTTGTAAATATTTTTTATTGATACACATTTTTCTGACATTATGTTTGTTTGCTTTTATAAAACAAAAAAAAACAACTTCTGACAAGCTAATCATAAAATTGATTATGCGCATTATTTAGTTATGCTAAAAAAATAAAACAAATTCATTTTTATTCTAAATAGGTACATCAAGTGAACATCTGAAGTGAGGATGTAGCTAATTGTTTTGAAAACCAAAGGATAGATGTACAATGTGTTATAATATTCTGTACAGATAGAGTTAACATGAAGTGTTCTGAGAACAAAACCATTTATATATGTTTTTTTTTTATTTGATATTTTATAAAGATACAGGTTTTCCTTAGCACCTTCAAACACAAAGCAATGGAAGTAGTGTATAGTGAAGTCTGATTCTTTGATTTGGTCAGAAGTTTGTTGACAATTTGTTTTAAATTAAATTTTTTTTTTCATCCTTTCTATACAAGTGTTTACTAACATAATTGTGTCATGACATCATTTTTGTGTGTGGGTATGTCACCTGCATTAATTGTGATTGTTACATAGTCTTTGCTAGCATAATGTCCCTTTGCTTTCTGCTGTTAATTCACATATGAGTGACTTATTGCATTAGCTTGGATTAGTTTTGTGATCTTAAACACTAGATGTAATGCATACACATGGGTGAAGTAGTGATAAGCTGTACTAGACTGCCAAACCAAGCACATACAAGCTTGTTGGAATAGGCTTTTCAGATCAACAATTGGAGTCTCAAACAGTTCTAGGGTGTAATGCTAGCCAATGAAAAGTGTGAGGTCTGGGCTTGGTAGTCATGAATCATCATGAAGTATAGAATAGAGCAAGTGACAGCTCATTTCTTGACATTTTTTTTCTACTTCATAAATTTGGCAGCTTCCTGGAAAGTTGAAAAAAAACTTATTTCCCCTACTTAAATGAAGTTGTTTAAGGAGAAACATCATATACTGTTTGATCCCAAGTATTTCTAACACTAGTTTTCTACAATACATTCACCTGTTTGTATTGTATGAAAAAGCTATATGAAATACATATCTATATATTATGTAATAGACTTAATGAAAATACATATCTCTGGTATCCTACTCCATTTGAGTAGACTTCACTTTTTGTCTGCTAAATCATTGACTCCATCTCTTGCCAAAAAGTTTGTCATCCTATTTGAACATTTTCATTGGAACCACAATGTGTACATTTGTTTGTGTGTTTCTGGTCAATCCATGAGTGCAATATTCACATGACATCATTTCAAGTAGACTGACTAGCACAAGTGAAGAGGGGTGTATGAGACAAACAGCATGTGTTCAAATTCTTCCATCTACCATCTTTTACTTCAAGAACCAAGACAAACTTGTTCTATTATTGTAGTAGACATAATGTTGACTTTTATTTTCTGAACTCTTTCAACAATTGTTTGGCATGACTAGCTGTACGACCTTACATTTAGGTTTCTGTCTGTATTACCTGCAGTTGTATTTGGCTAATAGATCTGACATCAATTGTGAGGGTCGTTGACTCCTAGTGTCTTCTTGTAAAGATAATGTAGGTCACGTTAATGAGGTAACTTAAGTCTTTATTAAACAATTAGTAGCATAATTTTTTTTTTTATCTCTTTACAATATTTGTGAAAGATTTATTTCTATTTTAAGCATTTTTTTTAAAAAACCTATTGTTCTATATATTTTGAATTAAAAGCATTACTAAACAAACTATATACCAATGTGTGTGTTTGTTTGTACTTTTTTTTTTTTTACTAACATTCTTTCTTAGACTTGGACTTATGGGTACATGGTTTTCATATACAATAAAATTACTTTGCATAAAACAAAAAAAAAAAAAAAAAAAGGGTTTTTACAAAATTTAGAAACATTTATTTGAAAAAAAAATTAATTTAGCAACTTCTAAAACTCACTATTTTTCCATGTTTATAGACCATTCTATTTCCATGGACTTACAAATCTGGAGTAAGTCATGCAATCACAGTGTCAAAACACTTTTACTTAAGGTTAACAATTAATATATATTGTTTTGGCTATTTGGCAATGTAAAACCCTTTTGACCTTAGGTTTTATGGATTTTTCTCATTTTTATTTGTCCTATTTACTAAATATTATTAGGTATCTAATTAGATTGATTTTATAAATTAAAAAGTACATTTTAGATTTGCTTTTAAACTAAAACTTTCAAGACAACCATAACAAAGTTTTTAAATACAAAGAAACATTTTTTTTTATAAGACTCTATAACTGTTAAGACCAATTTTAAAATAGCCTGTCAATGTCTCATAGAGGTATAAAATAAATTATAGATACTTATTACACCTTCTTGTACAAGTGTTTTTTAAAGACAAGGCAGTGTGATTCTTGAGCTTTTCAAGCCAAGATGTTCTCTTAGACAATGGTTTCTCAAGGAAAGAAATAGCATGGGAAGATCAAATCTCTTTTAACTACTAGTACTTTTGAGCTTTATGAAGCATTGCTATTGACTGTTGGTTTGTACTGAACTTTATACATTACATTGCAATATTAGAATAGTCAGAAACAATATATTTAGGTAAATATCAAGATTTGTCTAATTTACTGTAAGAATTTAGTTGATACTGTATCAAGCCTAAGTTATTTAAGTCTACAATTTGGGTTATATCTACTTTACATTAGCTACATTTCACATGAACTGAACAAATATTAGTCTAAATATATTACAAAGCACTTCATTGGTTTCAACAAAAGTTTTCAAACTCACACACAAAATGACTAGTCCTGATTTGGTAAAATCATTGCATTTATTAGTCAGCAGAGAGTTTAGTGACATGAACCAACAAACAAACAACAAAGAGAGTATAGTGACTTTATGAACAAACCAACAGAGTATAGTGACATTAAGAATGAACCAACAAACAATTAACACAGACAGTTTAGTGACATGAACCAACAAACAATTAACAGAGACAGAGTTTAGTGACATGAACCAACAAACAAATAACAGAGACACAGTTTAGTGACATGAACCAACAAACAAATAACAGAGACAGAGTTTAGTGACATGAACCAACAAACAATTAACAGAGACAGAGTTTAGTGACATGAACCAACAAACAAATAACAGAGAGTATTGACATGAACCAAGAAATACCAGACAGCATTCTACCATGACTATTTCATGAATGCTGAGATCAACATGTACTAGGTCTAGGTAACTGGACCATGTCAAGCAGTCTAATCATTTCTACCCTCACCCTACTGTGATCACATACAACTTGACCCCAGACACAGAAATGATTCACACAAAACACAAGCTGGAAAAGAGGACAAAAAAAAAAAAAGATCATTTAACCAACCAGAAAGGAAAAGACAACTATGATTGGTTGGACAAGAGTACAACTTTCTGTGAAAAGATGGGTCTTGGCAGATAACAAGAAAGATGTTAAAGAAGTTGTATAAAACAACTGACATCAGTTTAAGTCTTCATGTTCCAACTGAATAGATAACACTTCAGGTTGACACAGATCTAACAATGGTCAACAATTCAATCAATATCAGCGCAAGCATATATAAGGCCACAACCCAAACATCTATGGCCAAGAATACAGCTCAGGTAAATACAAACACAGTATGGCCAACAAGACACCTCAGGTCAACACAAGAACATCTATGACCAAACTCCAACCAGAAAATTCAACATAAACACATTTATTGGCAATGGCACAACTCTGGTTCAACTCATACATATTCAGCTCACTAAACTAACACTCAAGTCAACCTCTAGAACCATCCTGCTAATACTAAACAGAAGAGGCAGTAAACAGAAACAAAAAGAAAGGCTTAGTTCTAAAAGTTATCATCCAAGTAAGATCACAGATCATCAAATTTTTATATACATACACACAAAAGAAAAACAAAAATACAAAAGAACTGCCAGAGTTATGAATTTTGACACAATAATAGTTGATAAGGCAAAGAAAATTAATTCACACATTTCATAAGCCATGAAACTGTGAACACAATGACAGGCTGACTACATCTGGGGGGGGGGGGGCAAGTTTATGCTCTTTTGTATTATTTAGGATTTGATATGTCAATCTCACTATAATGAAAAAGTTTTTTAATCTGTAGAAATCTGTCTCACCTATCTTGGACAACACTCCTGCTAAGCATAAAAATATTTTTTTCCCCACATCAATTTTAGTTTACAGGCCATGTTGTAGGACATTAAAAATATAAACAGGTAACAATATCATCACTAGTGAAACTTGATGGTTTTTTTTAATATTTTACTCAAATTTTGCATTAAAAAAATTATTTTCATCACTAATTGTGTATACAATTCTGAACTGAATAATTCCATGCACAATCAGATTCAATGTTTGTAACAGTACATACACTTCAGTCTAATACTGCCATCCAATAACTATGCAATATAACTATATTCATCTGTTGTGCCGGACACACGCTCTAAATATGCTTTTTCTATCAATGTCTCAATACTTTTTTTAATCATGCTAATGCTGGGACTAAACCGACTGCGTGCTTGACTTATCACCTGGGAAAAGACAGACAAAAAAAAATATATTGTTTTAAAAGTGGTTAGTTCTTGTCTAGACAAACTAAGAATGTCAACACCAAACTTTAAAGTGATCCCACTAACCCCCTGGATTAACTTATTATGTTAAATATTGTTTTAAAAGTGACTACTTCTTGTCTAGACAAACTAAGAATGTCAAGACCAACCTCCTGGATTAAGTTATTATGTTTCTTGTCTAGACATACTAAGACTGTCAAGACTAACCTCCTGGATTAAGTTATTATGTTTCTTGCCTAGACAAACTAAGACTGTCAAGACTAACCTCCTGGATTAAGTTATTATGTTTGATTGTTTTCCTGGCCTTCATGATCCTTACAATGGCTGCTTGCAAGTACAATTTTCTGTCTTCATCTACAGCTGAGTGGGTACTTTCTACTTCCTGAGCAAACAAAGCAGCTTTTGATTAGTGGATTCAAATACATTAGCAATCCTACATCTAAGAAAAACCTAAGACTATCAACAAATGGTTCTGAGTTTAAATTACAACTCAACAAAGCATCTGCTCTGTCTCTTAATTCTATGTAAATCCTAAATGTATTAATCTAACAATACATTGTTAGGCACTTCTGCACTATGTCTTATGCAGATAAGTCAAACAGACGTAACGCTCAAATAAAGAAATCAAATAACATGCAAAAAAAGGCCAACAATATAAGTTAGTGGACGCTGATAGTGAAAGTCGAACAAGAAGTTTAAAAATAACAAGGCGTCAAGCTAAATCTCTTTGTTCATAAAACATGCCTCTCTCTAATGCTGTCTAATGAAGACTTTACATTCCCGCTATTCTTCCTAAAAATCCTAGTCTGGTTTTTACTAGTGGCATCATTGTCTCTAAGTCAAAACTTTCCCTTTCTACGAAACATATAAATAATTTCTAATTATAACAATATTATTATAAACTGATCAATCTTTATACTGCAATAGAGAAACCTAAGACAGTGGTTTTTGGAAGAAAAAAAAAAGAAAATTGAGATGGTTGCAACAATCCCAAAAAAAAACAAGGTTACAAAGACAGTTTGTGTGGAAACTTAAAATCGGCCCCCGAAGTGGTCCACCCAGGCAGGCTTCAATATTTTCAGAAAGCACATCCAAATGAAATTATATCAAAGACAAATGAGAGATAAGAATCTAGAAAGAAGGTTGACAGATCTTGTGTAGTGCCCCAATGGTGCAGCAGATCAAAGGATAGGTGCAAGTGAATGCAAAGTTAGATGTGAACCTGGCCTAACTAGTTCCCCTTTCAGACCTTGTGGTCTATAGGGCAGATGATGTAAAGTTCATCTGTTTTTGTGGCCTACGGTTAACGAGGGTGTCTTGTAGCCAGCACAACAACCAACCGCCTTTACTTTTCCCCAACTAATTCAGGTACCCATTAGAGCTGGGTAGACCTCGGAGGCGCCCAAGGATTCTGAAGTTGAAAATCCCAGTCTTCACACCCAGGACCCTCGGTTCAGAAGATAAGCGCTTTACCGAGCCTCTCCTGGTTTAACTGAAGTCTTATAAACAATGTAATTGTTTTGAAAAGGCTCAATCTTTTATTCGAATCCTCAAAAATATTACATAAAAAAAATGTTCAAGAAAATGAAGTTTATAAGATTACTATTCGTTTTAAATTAGGTCTAACTTATAATGCATACTAATTAGCTTTTTCTCTTTAAAAAACTGCTAGCATAACTGATTTTAAAAATTAGATTTTTCGCTTCCAGGAAAAAAAAAAGTAGCCGTTGCATCAGAACTTTGAATGGTCTAAAATATTGTGATGTGGGATTTTCAATATCTTTTCTAGTTTACGAGATCTAAACGGGACAGACGGACCGACATTTCGCTCAAAACTAATAGCGTCTTTTCCCCTTTCGGGGGCCGCTAAAAATCAAGGCAGATCAAAGTTTAATGAATGGACAATGTGTGAAACGAGTTTCAAGTCTAGACATCTAAACAATTCATGGAAATATTGGTTTTGAATTTTAACAAGGCTTCTTGTTGGCCTGTTGACCTTTTATGATCTAAACTAAACTACAGTAAAATAAATCTGAAAAACTACTATCTCATAGCTCAATTCAAATTCATTTTACTATTAGTCAGTTCAAACATTTTTAAAAATGTTTATCTGATTGAAAACAAAGTTTCACTTCTGCTCAGATACCATGCAAACCAACAAAAAAGGTGTAAGTTGTACAGTGTGTACTCTTGTCCCCCTTAAAAGACTTCCAGATTAAAAAAAAATCATTTAAGAAGAATTCTTGTTTTTTTTCTATTTCAGGGACTTCTGAAAATCCAAGAGGTGGAGGAAACTCCATTAAGAAATAGTAGTAGTTAAAAATGATTTGCAATTATTGAGAGTCACCCACCAATAAAATACAAATTACCTGAGGATTTTCTTTTTGAATAGCTGCCATTATCTTAAATTTGGTTCTTTTGTTACTGTAGGTTAAGTTTAAGGCTAATGTTGAATTCTCTGTGACTAAGTTCTGAAAGCGAAACAATTACAACATTGGTCAATGTTAGACATTCCAGGGAATAGTTGAATATTAAAAATGAAAAAAAAAAAAAAGCATTGGATATACTGCAACATTTTTTTATGGGTCTTGATTGTTTCCTAAAAAATTCAAAGTCAGTCAGTCCACTATTAATTTCCCAATTTGACAGCATTTCAGATTTCAATTACTTAGTAGAAACAAATTCCTAAGCCCCAAATTTCAATGATTTAGAGTGGAGGTAAAGAAGTGCATTAGTCATGTACCACTAGTGGAGTAGAACAAAGGTGCATTCAGTCATGTACCACTAGTGGAAGAGAACAAAGGTGCATTCAGTCATGTACCACTAGTGGAGTAGAACAAAGGTGCATTCAGTCATGTACCACTAGTGGAGTAGAACAAGGGTGCATTAAGTCATGTACCACTAGTGAAGTAGACAATAAACGAGCTATAAGCCAAGACATACTTCATGTGTCAACAATATCTTGGTATCTACAAGTGTTTGCAGCTGTTTGACCAGCTCCTTCTCTGGCAAGTCTGTACTTGTCCTGATGTCAGAGAAATGCAGGGAATCACTCGTTTCAAAAGGAAGTAATGTTGCCATCTGGAATGTGCTCATGGTCACAATGTAGGATTTTTTTAAATAACACAGCTTTAGCTCAACTGTAGGTGGAAAAAAAAATGGTGCTTACATTATGAAGGACATTTAAAAGTTGACTGTTGGTGCTTACATTATGAAAGGACATAAAAAGTTGACTGTTGGTGCTTACATTATAAAGGGCATATATCAAGTAAACTGTAAGGGCCTATTAAAACGAGTTTGTTTTGTTTTTGAGGGAGTGTATAATATGGTTAGAGGAGATGAATTATCTCTATATAATGTGTGTCTCTACATACCAGTTTGATGTTTAGACCTATGAATGACAAAATACAAAAGTTATGTGTAAAGAGTAAGCTAAATTGAAAAAAAAAAAAAAAAAAAAAAATTGAGCGGCCCCCAAAGTTTGTTAATGGGAATGAGGGTATTCTATTGGAAGATGCAAAAAAAAATATGTGATGTCACTGTAATACTGGCTCTTCATTTAAAAACTTGTGTGAGGAAGGGAGCTACAACTGATAGGCCTAACAAGTGTTTGGGTGTACTCTATATTAGAGGGTTGCAAACCATTTGAAGAATGAAAGAAACAAAAGCGGGTCTTATTAAATTTGAGAAACAGAAGATAATGGTGTTGGGGGTGACTGGGAGTGTTGTAAAGCAGCCGTTATCACTGCAAAATAAACATAAACGGACTATTGGAACCATAGTATCACTGGTCATCAACATAACATCAAACTCCATTTCAGTGAGGGCTTGTGAGATTCATAGCCTCTCTTTCAAAAGCCCAGGAAAGAAACCCTGTTATTTTGCGTAGTGCATGTATGTCACCATACAGGTCAAGAACCTGTGGTTATATGGAAGTACAGAAGAAGATCAGCAAGTCTAAGACAGTTGAAAAGAATAAGAGACACAGTTTCTCTTGATATTCTACTAAAAATAGCTGCTGACCAGGAAAATTAGAGAGATTTGGTTACTCATAGTGTCACAGCACCCCTACGACAATAATGAAGGGTCATATGATAATAAAAGTCAATGTTTTTCTTCATTTTAGTTTTCCACTAAACAACAAAGTCAATTTCTTATTAAGAAACAGTGTCCAACATATTACTAAAATCCCAAACTGGTCTGAAAAGTAACTCAAACCCCATGTTTAGTATAGCTATTCTAATAGATGAACAGATTGTTCCCTTGATAAGGAATCAATTATTTGATTCCACCAACTCACCATTACTCAATGCCTGCATCCATGTCAACTTCCTTCCATTAAATTTTTTATTGTAAAACTCTTCAAACTGGGAAAAAAAAAATGACATCACAATAAATATGTTTGAAATGAAACTCGATCTAATACTGTTGTAACTGCAAGTTTTTTTTATTAAGCAAATATCAAACTT